CTCACTGCAAGCTCTGCCTCCCGGGTTTACGCCATTCTCCTGCCTCAGCCTCCTGAGTAGCTGGGACTACAGGTGCCCGCCACCACACCCAGCTAATTTTTTTGTGTTTTTAGTAGAGACAGGGTTTCATCGTTTTAGTCAGGATGGTCTCCATCTCCTGACCTGACCTCATGATCCACCCGCCTCGGCCTCCCAGAGTGCTGGGATTACAGGCGTGAGCCACCATGCCCGGCCAGTACTGATATCTTAACAAAAAATCATCTGACCCTTGAGCAAGAATATGTTCAACGGTGTGTTTAATTTCTACATATTTTGGATTTGGTTAGGAAAAAATACATTGTTTGATTTCAGTCTTCTTAAATTTGGTAAGTTGTTATGTGTCCTAACAGAATGAATACACAATTGATAATATTGTGTATTCTGCCTTTTTTCCTGGAGAATTCTGTACATGTCTGTTAGGTCTAATTAGTCTATAATCCTTAAATTTTCTGTTTTCTTATTGATCTTCTATGTGATTTTTCTATTCATTATTGAAAGTGGAATCTTGAAGTCTACAATTGTGTTGCTGTGTATTTCTTATGTCATTTCCGTCAATATTCACTTCATATATGTGGCAGCAAATATTGCTCCATATATACACATACACACACACACATATATATATACACGTATATATATGTATGTATGTGTGTGTGTGGAGTGTGTGTATATAAAACTGTTAAAGATTTTTGGTAAATGGGCCTATTTTACCATTATATCAATCTTTGTCTTGTGTGACAGTTTTTAATTTAAAATGTATCTTGTATAATTGTGGCCACACCACCCAATTGTAGTTACTATTTTCATGGAATATATTTTTTTCATTCTTTACTTCCAGCCAATTTGACTCCTTTAGAGCTACAGTTGAGTCTGTTGTATACAGCATATTTTAGAATCTCGTTTGTTCTTAATCCATTCAGCCATTTTCTTTTCATTAAGGAATTTAATCCATTTATATTTAAAATAATTCCTAAAGGAAATGACAGTACTATTACAATCTTGTTTGTAATTGTTTTCTGTTCCTTGTAGATACGTTGTCCCTCATTTCCTCTCTCACCTCTCTCACTGCCTTCCTTTTTGTTTTGTTGACTGTGTAGTGACATGCTTTGATTCTTTTCTCATTTTCTTTTGCATTACTTCTATAAGTACTTTCTTTGTGATCACCTTGAGAAATGGACAGTTCATAAAACTTCTTAAAGTTCTGATAATCTATCTCATAACTTCCCTACAATTGAGTATGAGAATTATTTATCTTTATATCCCCCATTTGATATTAATGTCAAAAATTATATCATTTTATATTGTGCATTTATTAATAGATTTATGGAGATTTATGTTGTTTTTCACATTGTACAAAATTTTTGGTTTTATGTAACATTCGGCAATTCTATTATCTGTGTATATATTTACCTTTAACAGCTTTATATTTTCATATGAATTTATGATGTTGTCCAGCATCATTTTATTGTTCAACATAATGGACTGCTTTTATCATTTCTTGTAGGACCGTACTAGTAGCAGCAAACATTCTCACCTTTTGTTTATCTTGGAAGCCTATTTTTCACTTATTTTTGAATGTAAATTTCTTTTAGATCAAGTATCCTTAGTAATATTTTTGGTTTTATCTCATTGAAATTTTAGAAGTTCTCAGCACTGCCCCCTTTTTTAAAAAAATAACTTACCACTTTTCACCTGTATCTTCTTGGTATCTTTTTATTGGTCTACTGAATGGTTTCCATTAAGTCCAATATTTCATCTTCATTTTTTTCCATTTTTAAATGTTACATACAACTCAATATTTATAAATGATATGTCTTCAATTTGCTGATGTTTTTTCTGCCTCATTAAGTCTGCTGTTTTAGCTCTTTAGTAAATTTTTCAACAGAGTGTATTTTCCAGCTCAACAATTTTAGTTAGGTTTTTGTTTTTGTTTTTGTTTTTTTGAGACAAAGGCTTGCTCTGTTGCCCAGGCTGGAGTGCAATGGAGTGATCTCTACTCACTGCAACCTCTGCATCCCAGGTTCAAGCAATTCTTCTGCTTCAGCCTCCCGAGTAGCTGAGATTACAGGCGCCTGCCATTATGCCCGGCTAATTTTTTTGTATTTTTAGTAGAGATGGGGTTTCACCATGTTGGCCAGACTGGTCTTGAACTCCTGACCGTGTGATTCACCTGCCTCAGCCTCCCAACATGCTGGGATTACAGGCGTGAGCCACCACACCCAGCTTAGTTGGGTTCTTTTTTTATAGTTTTTTTTTTTTTTTTTTAATCTCTTTGTTGATGTATTATTTTCCTCATGCATGGTTTTTCTGTTTTGTTTTGTTTTTTTTAAACAGGGTTTCACTCTGTCATCCAGGCTGGTGGTATGCAGCAGTATGATCATAGCTCACTGTAACTTCAAACTCCTGAGCTCAAGTGATCCTTCCACCTCAGCCTTCTAAGTAGCTGGGACTATAGGCGTATACCACCATGCCTGGCTAATTAAAAAAAAAAAAATTGTAGAGACAGTCTCACTGTGTTACTCAAGCTGGTCTTGAACTCTTGGTATCAAGCAGTTCTCCCACCTCAGCCTTCCAAAAGCTGGAATTCCAGGTGTGAGCCTCTGTACATAGCCAGGATTTATTTTTAAATGAAAAAGCAGAGTATTTTACTTTATGTAAACCATATTGCTCTTGTCACCATGCCCAACCTGATTTTGTATAGTTATCTATATGTGTTCTACTTTTGGTCACTGAACATGTTTAAGATGATTACTGTAAATTCTTTGTCAAAAACATGCAAAAATCTCCCTTTTTTAAGGATCAGTTTCTAGAGATTTGTTTCTTCAAGTAGGGCAGATTTCCTATTTTCTCTGTGTGCCCTGTGATCCCATACACAGAAATTTCTGTAGTACTAGAATGATGATATATGAAACAACTATGCTCTGGTAGTCTCACAGAAGCGTGCTTATAGATGACACATTGCTTTTCCCTTTCTGTTTTTGAGATTCTCTTCTCATCTGTAATCTTTTGAAACTGCTTATAATGTATCTTGTTATGGGTCTGTCTGTGTTTATCCTATTTGAAATGTGTTGAGCTTCTTAATTTATTTTTTTACATTTGAGAATTTGTCAGGGTTTTTTCTTTTATTCTTCAACCCAACAATTTCTATTTCTTTTTATACTTTTCTCATTTTCTTAATTTCATGTGTTTTCCCATTTTACTCATTGGCCATTATTCAGATGGTTATCTCAAAATTTTCAGGTAACTTATATATCTCCATTTCTTTAGGGTTGATTTCTGGATATTTATTTATTTATTTATTTATTTTTTGATTGAGCCATGTTATCCTAATGTATATGTAGCAATCTTTGGTTGAGATTTGGGCACTAAAATCCACCTGTCAAAATCTTTATAAAATGGCCTTGTCCTGGGTAGTCTGACACCAAGTGACTCAGGTTAGGGTTTCCATGAGCCTCTCAAACCTATTCTCAGGATGTATGTTCTCTGGAATTTTGCGTTTAATTTCCAGTTAAAGAGAAATTAACTTGTTTCTTCTTTCTTTCTTTCTTCTTCTCTAATCAATTATTTGCTAAATCTGTTGTCTGTCTGTGGTACTGCAGCTTCTCTGCTGCTATAACAATTGTTTACCTTTGGTCTCAGCAGAACCAACCTGTAATTCAAAGGTTGGTTCTATTCTGCCACTATTCCTATCAGCACTTTGGGTCATGGGAGACAGAAACTAGTCTTTGGAAATTCCATCAAAAGTATGGGCATATGTGCCACTACTGTTTCTACTGAAGGAGAAGCTAGGAGTTGGGAGTTTATTCCTGAAGTCATTATGCTGTATTGAGGGGAAGAAAGAGTTGTGGTGGGTAAATGTAACAAGCTTTCCTTCTTGTCTGTGGCTTTTAATATGGTTTCTAGAGTTCTCACAAAGACATTTTGTTCAGTATATTTTTGTTAGATTATGTTCATGAAAAAATCAGGGCCTGTAGTATTTTATTATGCTATCTCGCTAATGTGTTTAGTATAATTTCATACATTATCTTTTTAGATTATATTCACCTAAGTCCAGTAAGTTGGATAATATGTTATTTTAATTTTTTTCAGCTGTTTCTTCTCATTTCACCCAAGACCTCTTGCCAGAGCATGGTATAAAAGATTCATTTCAAAAAGTGATACTGGAAAGATATGGAAGCGGTGGCACTGAGAATTTAGACTTAAAGAAAGATTGGGAAAGTGTGGGTGAATCTAAGGTGCAGAAAGAATGTTATAATGGACTTAACCAATCTTTATCAACTACCCATACCAAAATCTTTCAATTTAATAAATGCATGAACGTCTTTAGTAAACCATCAAATCTAAATAGACATAAGATAAGACATACTGGAGAGATATCTTCCAACTGTAAAGAATGTGACAGTTCCTTTTACATATCCTCAATTCTAACTCCACTTCAGAGAATCCACACTGCAGAGAAATCCTACAAGTGTAGACAATGTGGGGAAGCCTTCAAGCACTGCTCATGCTTTATTGAACATAAGACAGTTCATAATGAAGAGAAACATTTCAAATGTAAAGAATGTGGCAAAGTCTTTAAATCCTTCACAAACCTTTCTAATCACATTATAATTCATACTGGAGAGAAACTCTATAAATGTGAAGAATGTGGCAAAGCTTTTAACCACAGTTCAAACCATGCCAAACATAAGAAAATTCACACTGGAGAGAAACCCCATAAATGTGAAGAATGTGGCAAAGCCTTTAACTGGTTCTCATACCTAACTCTACATAAAAGAATTCATACTGGAGAGAAACCCTACAAATGTGATGAATGTGGCAAAGCCTTTAACCAGTGTTCAAACCTCACTAAACATAAGAGAATTCATACTGGAGAGAAACCCTACAAATGTGAAGAATGTGGCAAAGCTTTTAACCGGTGCTCACACCTTACTGAACATAAAAGAATTCATACTGGAGAGAAGCCCTATAAATGTGAAGAATGTGGTAAAGTCTTTATATCTTGTTCAAGCCTTTCAAACCATAAGAGAATTCATGCAAGAGAGAAATGCAACAAATCTGAAGAATGTGGCAAAACCTTTAACCACTGCTCAGACCTTAATGAACATGAGAAAATTCATACCTGAGAAAAATCCTACAAATGTAAAAAATGTGGCAAAGCCTTTAATACCTGTTCATGTCTTACTCAGGATCAGAGTTCATGTTGAACTAAAGACTTATAAATATAATGACTGTCAAAACACCTTTCACAGAAAAAAATAATTTTACCACAGATTAATTTGTTCATTAATGGAACTTTAATTCTCCGTCTTTTTTTTTTTGGTCTACATAAATCTATCCTTATGCCAGTACTATATTGTTTAATTACTGTAACATTGTAGTAAGAGTTTATATCAGGAGTGTAAGTTACTGAATTTTGTTATCGTTTTTCAGAATTCTTGTGTGTTTGATTTTCTTTACATGTTTATATGGATGTTAGGAAGAGCTTGTCAATTTCTGTTAAAGAAAAGCTACATTGGAATTTGCATTGAATCTGTAGATAAATTTGTTGGGTATTTTGATCTTCAAATTCAGTATTGTTATCTTTGAATATTGAGTATATCTCAGTTTATTCAGCTCTTTGATTTCTTTCAGCATTTTAAATAATTTTCAGTGTATAGTATGTGCAGTTATTTTGTTAAGTTTGTTTCTAATTTTTTTTTCTAGGATACTATTAATGAAATTTTAATTTAATTCTTATTTTGTTTATTGCTATGATATAAAAGTACTATCTAACCTTGCATGTTGATCTTGTGGCATTGATGAACTTCATTAGCTCAAGTAGGTTTTTATTTATTTATTTATCTATTTATTTAATTTCTTTTTTTTTGTTTTTGAGATGGAGTCTCGCTTTGTCACCCAGGCTGGAGTGCAGTGGCCGGATCTCGGCTCACTGCAAGCTCTGCCTCCCGGGTTCACGCCATTCTCCTGCCTCAGCCTCCCGAGTAGCTGGGACTACAGGTGCCTGCCACCACGCCTGGCTAATTTTTTGTATTTTTAGTAGAGACGGCGTTTCACCATATTAGCCAGGATGGTCTCCATCTCCTGACCTTGTGATCTGCCTGCCTCGGCCTCCCAAAGTACTGGGATTACAGGCGTGAGCCACTGTGCCCAGCCTCAAGTAGGTTTTTAATGAATTTCTTATACTTTTAAAATACAACATTATGGCAATAAAAGACTATTCCACTTCTTTTCTAATCTGGAGAATTGTGTTGATTTTTCTAGTATAATTTTCTGGCTCGTATCTCCAGTACAATGGTGAATAGTGGTGAAAGTAGAAATTCTTGTCCTGTTTTCAAACTTGCATATAAGGCCCCCAGTCATTCTCCATTAAGTATATTAGCTTTTGGTGTGGGGTTTTCCATCTTGGCTCACTGCAGCCTCAACCTCTTAAGCTCAAGTGATATTCCCACCTTAACTGCCTGAGTAGTTGGGACCACAGGCATGCACCACCATGTCCAGATAATTTTTTTTTTTTTAATATTTTGTAAAGATGGGGTCTCCCTATATTGTCCAGAATGGTCTTGAACTCCTGAGTTTATGCAGTCTTTCCACCTCAGCTTCCCAAAATTCTGGGTTACAGGTGTGAGCCACTGCACCTGGCCGATTTTGGGTTTTCATAGAGGCCTTTTAGCAGGTCTCAAAAGTTTTCTTCTAATAGTTTTCTTGATGTTCTGTCATTCACAGGTGTTGAATTTATCAAGCTTTTTCTATTTAAATTATTACATTTTTACTTTGTTCAAGTAATATTGTATCATATTAAACCAACATTGCATTGTAAAAATACCCTGCTTAGTCATGGTATGTAATCACTCTTATACCTTTTTATATTCATTTTTAAAATATTTCTTGGAATTTCTGTGTCTGTATTTAAAGAGGATGTTGTTTCATAGTCATCTTGTGATTCTTTTGTCTCATTTGAGTATTATGGTATTACTGGCTAATAGATGAATTAAGAAGTGTTACCTCTTCTACTGCTTGAAGTTTTTGTGAGAAATTGATGTTTTTCATTAAATGTTTATGAAATGTACAACTTAAGCAGTTTATAACAGCTAGTCTATCTAAAAAGATTTTAATTAATTTTTTGTTATATGGATATAAGTATATTCTTCTGTGTGTGTGTGTGTATATATATATGTATAATGAAACAATTCATAGGATGTTTTTTCAGTTTCCTTTGTAATCCATCCCTATCAATATTTTTTTATTTCATAGTATGTCATGAACAATTACTCTAGGCACTTGACATGGAATAATTTGAAAAAATAGAGAATGAGTCCTGTACTACAATCAACAAATAACTCAAAATTTTCTCCATTTTTAGGATGAAGAATATGAATATAGTTCTGTTACATAATATTTGTGTTTACTGTGTGAGACAAATGGGTTACTGAATGTAAAAATAATTAGTGAAACTGCCCTTTGATTTTGGAATGTATGAAACAAGCAAATGCCCTACCTTCTATTTTTATCAATATTTAGATAAGACAGAAAAATAAATTTTAATAAGATATACAGAATAATCTTGTATTTGAAGAATGCTATGAAAAAGATAATTTGGAGTAGTAGTTAGCGTATGGCTCATATAATGTGTTAGGTACTATTCTAAGCCATTAAACATTTGTACGCTTAATACCTAAGAGTTTAAAGTGAAGAAATCAAAGATTCATTGAAAAAGAAAAATTAAATTTTAAAAAAATTGTACTTTTAATTGAAAAATAGTATATATCTATCTACAGTGTAATATTTTGATATATGTTTATGTTGTAAAATGATTAAATCAAGTTAATGTTTATAGCTTCATTTGTGGTGAAAACATCGAAAATAGTCTTTATAGCAGTTTTGAAATACACATTATTTATTACAGTCACCATTCTGTGCAATTGATCACTAAATCTTATTTCTCCTAATTGAAACTTGGTACATGTTGAAGAACATTTCCCCTCTTTTTATTCACTCCATCTCCTAGCCTCTGTCACATTTTCATTCATATTAGGTAACATTAAGGTCATTATAGAAATTAACTTTTTGGTGTCCCACAACTAAATGAACATAAATAATGTTTACTTTGTTAGTAAGTTATACTAATTAGGCATAGGAAGAAATGGCAGCTGTTTTTGCCAGTAAACAAAGGATGCCCATTATTTTAAAATATTAGATATGAGTATTTTAGGTGGTAAAGTTTTAGGCCTAAAATATGTCATTGAATTTATTATCCCAGAAACCCAGCAGGTCATATTTTCTGAACATTGTAAATAACAATAGAAATTACTGACTAAAATGTTACCAGCAAGTACTATCTGACCACATGAAAACTGCATTGAAATTTTTAAATTTGTAGTTCAAATGGAAGACTCAAACAGATTCTTTTCATGGATTCAGGGAAGTGCTCATGAGGAAGCATGGTGATTGAAGCCAAAAATCTGAATTCAGGTAAATAATTCTGCCAATATGATCTCAATGGTGTAGAAAATCAGTAGTTTTGGCCATATATAGGTACTGTTCTCTGACATAGAGTACATATATTTCAGAAATTTGTGCTAAATGTAAAATCAGTTCCCTAGTATTAAAGTTAAACTCTACAAATTATTATTACTTTACAGTATGTTGAGGAAAGGATATGTTCTATATAAAGTAACTTGAGATTTATTGTCTATTACAAAAAAAATTGTGTAAAATATATTTCATGTGTACACTGTTGACATTTGTGCTTGTTGGAAAAATACTATAGATTCTACACATTTTAAATGTAGAAAGCTAAAATCCTCAGAAAGTTACAAGAATCTTTAAACGACTGTATAGCATTGAAAGTGAAAGTAAAATAGAATTTTCCAACTAGAGAAGCAAACGAAAGAAATCATTTAGGAAAATAATCAACTGAGAAGTAAGCGCTCCTGTTAGATATGGGTGGTCAGAGTTGCCAAATCCATGTGGGTTGCCCAACTTGCCATAAAGCAAATTTAAAAAACAGACATAAACTGCAGATGTCTGAAATGTAATATCTCCCATAAGTGAAAAGAAAGTTAAAACTTATGTTACACACAGTTATAGGACTTATTTTTTAAATGTTTAAGTCAACACAATGAGAAAAATAGGAAAAAATATATATATATTACAGAGCAAAAGACTACAAGCTTGACAAGCCATATTTGAAAAAGAGCCAAATACAAACAACCTACTTAATATACAACGTATGGGTTAAATATTAAATTAGTCTTAGCTGATGAGATTAGTGAACCGAAATACTGAGCATGATTAATGTAGTTAAATACAGTAAAAACAGAAAACAGCCCCGACCTCAGCAGAAAGTCTAAGGCCTGGCCCCTGCCCCCATCCCTGCCCGGAGCCCTAGCCTCTGAGGCAGTCTCCAAGCCTTTGGGAGTAGCTTCTGAAGATGAGTTGGTGGTTGAATTCCTGCAGGACCACAATGTAGCCCTTGTATCCCATGCCCCTCAGACATTCACGATGGATGAACTGGCTGAGATGCAGCAGATTGAACAGTCAAACTTCCTCCAGCCTCCCCAGAGAGGCCCTGGTGTGGCCGACTTGGCCTTGTCTGAGAACTGGGCCCAGAGTGTCTTGCAGCTGGAGATACTGTGGATGTAATTCAGGATTGTGATGAGACAGACTGGTCCCAATCATTCATTTCTGAAGTTACAGACCCCTTGGCTGTTTCCCCCACCTGTTGGACTGAGGCATATTTGGAGCAATCAGGGGAGAAGCTGTGGTTGGGACAGCCTAAGGGAGCAGCAGCTGCTGATCGTTGGACCATGAATGTCATCCTGAGAAGGATCGGCAGCACATGGCCAATGACTTTGTGGCCAAAGGGGATGACCCCAAATTGGCTAATTCTGAGTACATCAGATGCCTGGATTGACCATTCACAAGACCAGTAAACACAACTGCCCTTGATAGGGAGTTTGAATGCGCCAAGTCAGCTATAGAGTTGCAGGCGGAGTTGGAGGAGATGGCAAAACGAGATGCTGATGCTCACCCCTGGCTTTCTGACTATGATGACTTCACATCAGCTTCCTTTGATAAGGGCTACCAGTTGGAGGAGGAGAACCCCCCACGTGATCACCCTCAG